TGGTTACTTAGCTGCTTGTGAAGGATCTGTCCCTGAAGCTGTTAGAGATGAATGGTGAGTCTGCTGCTTGGCATACCAATTGAAAGCAATAGTTATTTATTTATCTACCCATTATATAGATTATAATTTACTACATATATTATTAAAATAATTATAATTATAGCATTAATATTATTATTAATATAAATCTTAATAACAACGAAAAAGAAAAAAGAAGAAGAAATTTATCAAAATTATTAATGTAACAGATGAACCATGCATTTATTATAGTGAAAATTAAATAAATCAGATTATTCAACTTGCACTTAAATTTAGTAGGCTTTCCTTATTAACTTGACGAAATTGACATGCAAGATTTATTATGTTTGAGTAGAATACAGAACTCGTTGACTGTTACATGTTGTTTAATAACGTTCTATGCTTGTAAATGTTTATTACTTACAGGATGCTAGAGTAACGCCTTGCTTAAATCAACGAGAAGGATTAACGGCGTTCATTCTCTCAGCACTGTGTTGACTGTAGCAAATAGAGATATTAATATAGTGTAGATAATTTGTGTGATAGCAAATTATATTGCTTAAATCGTGTAATTCGAGACAAGCGTGACCAATTCAGCTTCAACTTTAATTCAAGGTTGAGTATTCTCATAGACCGTAATTTTAATGCATCTTTTAAATAACGCGCCCCGACAGAATCGAGCTATTCTGCTTGGGTTACCAACATATCGTCGGGGGAAAAAAACGGAAACTATACTAAAACATATGTTTGGATACTTGTAAAAGGGGCTGAGAAGGAGCTTTACTACACTTTGACGTTACTACTGCATAGGTAAACGGGTTTTCCTACAAGCGGCACATTCTGATTTGCTCTCGATGATCTCTGATCCAAATTCGGACAGATATCACCCTGCACAATTATGATTTATGGGACTGTCAAAATCGCTTTTTTTCCTCTTCTCTTCTTTCTAAGCTAATTCCTCCTCTCGACCGATCTTTTTTTATCGATTTAAATGTACTCCTTAGCTCAAAGAGCCAATTCTGTCTTTGCGTTCTCGCTGACTGTTATATTTGTCCTTCTTGGCGCAGTTGCTATTATAACACCCTTCTTTTCTTCTTCCGATCCTAAAACCGAGGTGCATGTTAAAGAGATTGCAGTATGGACATATGATTATGGTGGAAGTATAAGCGAATTTGCTTTTGTTACCATGGACTTAGAGGCTGGTCTGTGTTCGAAGGAAAGGTGTCTGGGAGAAGCGTAGCGAAAAACGTACATTGTATGAACGGTGTGAATATATCATTTCTTAATCTCTATTTCTCATGTACGACGTTATATGTAGATTTGACGTCTTTGTTTGATTGGAACACCAAGCAGCTCTATGTCTCAATCGTTGCTGAATATGGATCTGATGTATATGTTAGTCTTGACTTTTTTACTTGTGCTGTCGGTTATGGCTCTATAGATATTATCTGTACCATTAATGTGCAACTTTCTCTTTTACCGTTGGCAGAATATGAATCAGATAGTACTCTGGGATGACATTATTAGATCAAAAAGAGACGCTCAGGTAGTTTTACATCAGATCAAAAACAAGTATATGTTTAACGACATTACTCCAAGTTTCAGGTAATTATCCACATTTGTCAAGCCATTCTGATTACCTCTGCAAGACGACTACAACAAAGTTGTTTTCCGAATCTTTGGGAGCTTACTCGTTACTCTGCACGCAGAGATTGAATAGTTTTAGACACGGCCATATACGAATACTTTGCTTATTGTTGATATTTTTCTCTCCCAATCTTCTTGTTTACTTTTAGAGAGGTCAATGCAACGTATGCATTACATTGGGACGCGATGCCTTATGTTGGATTACTACAATCTGGGCGATCCGATTCTATCAGACATGTAAAGTTCCCAAAGCCAGAAAATTTTGCTGCATGATAGTTCGAAAAGAAGTGCGAAAATAGGAAAAGAAGCCAAACTATAATTGAAAAGAATGGATAATTGAATAATCGGATAATAGGATATATAGATGACGCCGAGAATACAAACCAGAGAAAAAGGATAATTGTTACATTGAGATGACATGAACAATATCAAGTGGCGTCTTTTCCTCTGATAATTTCAAATTCATTAGTTCAACCTTGTCATAAAAACACATCTATCTATACGCTTCAACACAGTACACCGAAACAGTTGTTATGAAGGGAGGATGGGGGTGTTGGGGGGGTGGGGGTGAGTTCTTTGGGATAGAATTTATCCTTCTTTTAAATATAATAGAAGATAATAAAACTATCTTTACATCTAATACAAGCGAGGAAGAATTATTAAATGCCAGCATATATTAATATTAAAAATAGCAAACGTATAGATAAAATGTTTTGGTATAGTATGGTATGGTATGTATAAATGTCCGTCTTTATCTTGAAGAGTTTCCGCAGGTATTGGCGATAGCGGTTCTCTTAAATGAAAGAAATTTGATGTTGTTAGCAACAGATTAGCGATTTAGAGCGATTGACGTGACAAATGACAAGAATCCTTGAGTATACCCTCATCTCTAAGTAAAATTTTTTAAGTGTAATTAATCTTCAAACGGGAAGCTTAGATCCTGTTAATTTATCAAGCGCCTACGTGGGAAAAAGTTAATCAGGTTAATTCAAAGAACTTTCCAAATGAAATTCTCGCGGATAATTACACTTACGTGAGAAACGCCTGGTGCATTCAGTACATTACCGATAAGAGGCAATCGACGTAAAAAGCTAATTACGACTGGGAAAAAATCACTGCAAGAAATATGAATCAGTAATCATTCCCAACACACATTGTTAAACTTCAAAACACTTTATACCTCAACTCACCCAAACAGATTCAAGAAACCGAATAGTTCGATCGCCATGCCAAAAATAGGCCATTTGAAAAAAACAAGCAGAATTCCGCCAAAGAAACATATAGTGCCGCGAAGTTTCTGTTTTCGTGCAAAGAAAACAATTGTCTTTTGAAACCCGATAATGAATGTCACTCCCGCAAGAAACAGTAACTGATAATGGTAGAAGAATGGTTTGAGGTCAACCGCCCGCCGCCCAAACATACGGGAAATGGTAAAAGATACGGTAGAAAATGACAGTTATTTTTCTCGTGAGCCAATTGATGAAAATATCATAACTTCCAAGGTTATGGCTTACGTTTCCTATTGCAAGCAGGCCTCCATCAAAGAATAGTAAAACGCCAAGAAACATAAAAAACACTCCAAAGGCAGTTAACCCAACACCAATCTCTAACAGAAGGAATATATTTGTTTAGCAATAAAGAATTTACTAGAACCATTCGAGTAAAACACCAACGACAAAGTCTATTGATCACTTTTTCTCCACTCAAACCCACTCGGTGTACGTACTTTGTGTGTCTGACAGCCACATCTCTTTCCGTTTTAATTTTAGATTCCCGAATAAATAGTGTATAATATAATGTCTAGTAAGCCTCCCTTTCTTTTGCTATATATTATGTTAGAGGAATTATCACAAAGTATGCTCGCGCCAAGGTCGAAAGATAGATTCCGAGGACCAAAGGTTAGTTTTTGCCAATCGCAAGTCGAGACACGTGGTAGAGCGTCTTTGGGCGCAAAACTATGAAAAAAATTTGGTTTTCAGTCACACACACGTTATTGTTATGTTAATGTCACACCAACACCTACGAAAAGAGTAATAGTAACCCAAACAATTTGGTAAGTTCCTGTCAACTTCTTGGCCTGCATAGTTGAGAAATACCTTTTCCTGCATCGAGTCTTTTACTAATGGTTGAATGAATTGCGTAATAAAGTATTTTTAATATTCTTTTCCAGTACTAAAGCAGGAATTTTGACAAATGGGATACACAGCAGGGGTTTTTTTTTTTCGAGAATATGCGTATTGACACAATATATGCACAGATACTGTATATGGAAAGTAAATATGGAATCTGTATCCAAAAGTGGCCAATCCCTTTTTTTCAATGGAAAAAGTGAAACTCTAATACCATTGGAAAAAAATGGGATGGGGACAATGGATGTTTAGCTTTTTCTATAAATAACTGGTATCCCCATTTTAATTAGGGAATGCTATAAACGTAAAAATGAACACAGCTGATAATATTGTTGCTTTGAAAGCAAAATTACGAATATTAACCGGTACAATTCGCGTAATAATTCAGTCACCTTGCATTTATCCATTTAACAACACAAATTTGGTTTATTTATTTATCACGGCTTATTATCCATATGACTCACATTAGTAAGTATTCTTATTTAGTTAGTATTCAAATCATAGATTATAATATACATACGCTATTATATATAATCAACCATAATACCCGAAATATATCACCTGAATTTACAGCCTGATAATATACAATTATTCATTCAAAGTAAGAACGCATAGGTCATAACTTTTATACATCTCATCAGACGCCCCGCTGCTATTTTTATCAGCACATACTCTAGTCGTTGTAACCACGTCCGCATCCAGAAACATTCCACCTACTGCGCTACCAACAGTCGCGCAATTCTTTGTACGATTATTTTCTTCATTTTTTCTTTTTCTATTTTCTCTCTCGTTTTTTATCGCCGATACCCATTCGCGCAAAGTTTCGATTACTTCTTCAATGTCGGGTCTATTGTCGGGTTCATCGTCCCAACATTTTTTCATAAGCTTGACATAACATTCGGGAGTGTTGGCCATGACAGACGGCCGCAGTCCCCGTTTGATATAATTGGCGAGATTGACCTTGTCGGAAGATAGCATGTCCAAATACGGTTTATCTCCAGATGTTATCTGCCACATTAGAATGCCCAAGCTGAACATGTCTGATTTCCGAGTATATTCAGCCCCTCCAAGGACCTCGGGTGCCGTGTATGGAACACATGCATATTTACTATCATGTGCCTTGTTCAGAGGTCCGCATATGCCCAGGTCGGCAATAGTGGGATCGTTGCCTCTATAGAGTATATTGCTAGCGTGGAGACTACGATGAATCAGTCCAGCTGAATGTATCACCTGCAATCCACGAGCTATTTCGGTCAACATTAGCAATTTAGGTTCCCAGGTGAGCGATGAGAAATGTGTTGACAGATGGCGCGAGAAATCACCCCCACTTGCGTATTGAATAACCAGCATGTATAACTTGGATTGTGGGTTTTGGGTTATTCCGTAAAGAGGGAGAATGTTGTGACTATGTTTGCAAGCAAGGTTGAGGCGCATCTGATTCAAAAAGTCAAAGAATATCATAAAAATATTGCTCGATTTCTCTATAATGCCAATTCAACAAGCAGACACAGTATCAGGTATTTAGTATTTTCAGTCTTTTTTCAATCACTTACTTGTTCAATGTAAGCTTTGATGTCAGAACTCTTGTTAGGTTCCATCAGCACCTCCTTTAGCACAACTTTTCGATCTCCATGTCTAACAAACTGCTGCGTCTTTTCATCCCACAATTGCCTCAACCCACCTTTCCATGTTGCCGTATATATTTTAGCAAAACTTCCCGTGGTCAAGTAGTTTACATCGGTGAACTGTTTGTATGGTATCCATTCTATATATTCTGTTTTATCTTGAGCATTCAATTGAGTTTCTTTGATCAAGTCGTCGATGAGTTTATTTCCACTGGTCCATTTGGTGAATTCGTTGCAAAAGATAATTTTTTGACAAGATGGACACCAATTGCGATGGGTGTATGGTCGATGACATTTGCCACATTCACCGTAAGGTGCTTTTTGTTTTGTTACGAGATTGTAAACTAATCTAGACGCAGGCTTTTTACGGTTGTTGACATTTGGTTGGTCTTTGATAACTGTGGTCATGGTCTACGGCGGGGAAAGGATCAATGGGGGCAAGCAGGAGAAGGAGAAAAAAAAAAGAATTATGCGTATCGAGTTGTACTAGTATAAAATGAGGACTGGATATTTATACCATGGGGTATTTTCTTTTTTTCTTTTTTTCTTTTTTTTTTTGCAACAACTCTGTTATAATTGTTGTCCGTATATTGTCTGTTGCATAGTAGTAGGGCGTATGGATGATACAACAACAGTATATTCACGTCATTGTTCTCACATCTTGGTAGTTTGTAGTGTTTAACAATGCCTGTACGCATATTAAACAAATACTCGGTTTCAGTCCCTGTGTATAATTTGCCATTTATTATCTAATGGCGCGCATCGCAACAATTGACATGACTTGGTGTGTTCCTGATATGGAGTATGAGATTTCCAAGTAGGGCTTAACGTGCTGGTTCGCGCATTTGTGAGACGGTTGGGCGGGAGGGAAAAACTAAAAAGAAGGATGGCGCAAAATCTAAATTGACGAAACGTGCGAATGGAAAAGGTTGTAAGATTATTTTAATTCTAACAATGGATTGTAAATTGGCTTTAATTTTTAATATCAAAGGTTTGGATTTGGAAAACATTCCACAGACGAGTTTCAGCGAACGGATTTTATATTATTTGGTTCTTGTAGATTGTGGTCGATAATGCACATATCTTTTCCGTCCATAATAGTCAGGACCCTATTATTTTTTTTTACACGACAGCAAATTAATCGACACAGAAGGCTAAGAAACACTCCCTTGTTGCACGGCAGATCAAGTGAGGTGACAGTGTACTTGTGTACAACTGCTCATAGACGTATATACTCATTACGCAAATAAAGCGAACCAATTACAAGTTGACAGTCTAGGGGCGGGGAGTGACTCGTGCTTCGTTCACTCTTAAAACCTACAGAGTTTCCCCCCACCTACCATAATAGACAGCACTCGCGCTAATAAAAAAAAGGGGGGGAGAGAGAAAAAGCTGTCATTTACATATTTACCGAATGAATTAGATTCCGAAAATATTAAGAGTGAAACCTAACTTTATTGACTTTCTCGTGCTGCATGCTTTCCCCCACACATTTTGTTCTAGCGAAATGATAATGACGTCTGGCTTATGCAAAATTATTACATATTGCAGACGCCAGGGGATTGTCCATAGACATTTCAGGAAAGGTGTCTACAGATAAAGGCTTTTACGCGAAAAAATAGAGTCGAATGTTCTCTTTCTCTATTGCTATCTAACCTAACGCATACATAATGTATGTTACACCAACATTACAAATTCCAGGGGGGTCAAAATGTTATCTCTTAATATTAATATTAAGGAGGAAGACACATCGTCAGATAACGATAATCAGCTGACTAGACGAACTTTTTTCGTTATGATTGTTTGTTTATTTCCCCCTCTTTCCCCAACAAAACTATTCAAATTGTATTGATGGGGAATGGGACAAAAAAAAATTTTTTTTGATTCTCTTTTTTGAGAAACAAGTCTCCATGACAGATCACTAAATTCATACGTCTGCGTTTCATAATATTGTATCACAATCACGTACAGTATACATTAAATGGGATGAGACTATTCAATCACTAATTTGCGCTGAGCGTGTTCCCTCCGAATTTTTACAAATATACAATTATCAGATTAATAATGGTAAAGCAGTGCGATTTTAAAATGCAAGAGGCGTGTCTTACTTTGGATTGAGAGAATATGATTGGTTTGTTATCAGCCGACGAGGGAAACTTTAACAATGGGAGTGCATAAACATAATAGTAAGGGGTGACAAATTCTAGATGACAAGTCAAAACGTCTAGTGAGTTACGACGTCTAGTGAGTGATGATGTATGTCAAAAGTTACGAGCGATTGAATTTTTAACTGAAATATTCAAGTATCTAGCATCGCTCTTTACTAATGCTATGCTAAATGGATAATCAATGTTGGCTAGTCGATACATATAGTTTCAAACCGAATTCGAAACTTATGGTGGGGTGGCAGACGTATAGGAAATTTAGCCTGTGAATTCGAGCATGTCAAAATAACGCGTGAACTATGGTATGCTGTACATAGGTCATATACCCTCATACAAATTACTAGAGCATGTTTATATTGCAGAAAATAATGAAATGATACTGCGAGTACAATTATTTGTCTATGCCGTAACGAGAAGATTTGTTCGCGTAAAAATTGTCATTGAACTGGCTCAATGGTAACAGCAAACAGTTATTTACATGTGACGTCTATTTTCATTTCGAGAGAAGGACAAGAGTGTTATTGTCGCGAAAAAAAAAAACAAAAGGCTTTGAGGTTCTTGTGTAATTTATTAAGCAACATTCAGTTCGACGACATCAAAAAGAAATCGCAAGTCTGTAAAGCTGAATCAAAGGGATTTATGAAAGCTGATTATGGTAGAGACATAGCAACAACCATTCCCACGGCAGTAAATATCCTAAACTTGTAATGCTCAAGTTTGACTCGTCATCAATCCTATAGTATATTAATGTTGACAGTTTGCATCTTGATTTGGTCACCCCTCACTAAATGCAATGCACACAGCACATGTTTATGATTCCTCCTCCTCCTCCTCCTCCTCCTCCTCCTCCTCCCCATCTCCATCTTCATCTTCGCGATTTTCTTGTGAATAAGCGTTTCTATTTTCACCAGGCTTGGCAATTGCTTTCTCAGGAATTATGCCTTCCGGATTTAAGTAAGAGTAACTATCATCGAAATGCACATCTATTGCATTTAACCAATTCTGAAATCTAAATATAAAATAAAAATATTAAAAACTATTCAGGGAGAAGCGGGAAGGCAAAATGACCAACAAATCCCTAACAAATGGTCACTTACACATTTTCAGCAAATTCTTCTTCATATATTTTGGAATAAATAAAGTCTTCTTTGAATTTTTCTATTTCTTGCTGGTGATATTATGAAAACTGGCATTAGTCTATTAAAATACGGGCTCTTTGGAATCAGATATCACTCACAACTATCTCTGCAATACTAACGCTATACTTTGCAAAGTCAACCGTCTCTTTCCCCCCTGCCGATGCCTTTCTGTTGTATGAGTTAAATATAGGCTAAAGGTATGTATTGGTAAGTATGTATAAAACAAAATCGTGTTTGCGAGAAAGCTCATGTGCCAAATGGCATATCGTTCTTGCATAAGTATAATTCACCTGTTCGAGTAATAGTCCTAATGATGGAGCTCTGGGGATATTAATCTTGTCAATGTTGAAAGTTTTTGCAACCAAAGATAGTGGGGTGCCACTTCTTACAATCATGATAATTAAAGCTGTATAATTAAATTTGCACATGGGGAAATTTGAGAATCTGAAATACCATTTCATCGTAATGACCCGGTTTCTCCAACAAGCGTTATCGCAAATAGTCACTTACCAACCATCTTTCTTATTTGATGCAACATGAATGACTGACCATGAACTTTCAACTTGAGCCACTCTGTGTCATTAATCATCTTTGGCGAACTCACCTACCCAAAGAGGATTACCATCAAAATGCAAACGTTCTCGCTCTTTGACGCTTGATTTTTTACAACATGCTCACCTCAAACTTTACTATATACCTGTCACAGCTTCGTTCATGGTACGTCCTCCCACTAGTAAAGTTATGAAAGTTGTGCGTTCCTTCATACTCTTTAAAACCTTGTCTGACAACATGCAATGTATCGGCAGGAATGCGGTATTTCCTCTTTTCCGCCATCTCCTCCAGAGTAGCAACCGGTATGTTCACCCATGGCTTTCGAAACGAAACATCCTCTGACTGTTCATCGGGCAGCACTGGTTCGGTAGCATGAGACACGGATAAAGTTTTGGGAGATGTAGGTGTCGGTGCCGGTTGGAAAACATATGTTGGTACAAGGTATTCGTATATGCGCGAGTCGCAAAGTGTCTTGGCGTGAAATGACCGAATTACACGAACGAAACCTAAACGATATTTCGGGTAAAAAAAAAAAAGAATGAATGGGGAAAAAACAAATTCGAAATGACCTGTACTTACCCCACATTCGAATCTGATCGGGCAAATTCTCGTTGATTTTCTGTACTAGGTCGGGAATGTCGACTATCATGTGTGGAACGACACGTATAGCAATAGGGATTTTGATCTCAGCCTTGGAAAAGAACTATGAAACACCACCCGCAGAAATACCAAACATATAAAAAAGAAATACTCATCTTTAATGAAATCACATTCGCGGCAGCATGTACTCCTTTATCTGTTCGTGCTGCTCGCATGAGACCAACCTAATGAATATAAACGATCAGGGTCATTCATCTGTTCATTCACAGTTAATAAGATTCGGATCCTAATCCTTTTCTCTCCACGGATTATGTACCTTCTTGGGATCATCAGAATTATCTTTGGAGACTGCTCCAGCAGCTACGAAAGCCTTAAAAAGATCGCCTTCAATGGTTTTGGCATTTGGATTTCTTTTTTTTTTTTTAAATAAATTCTTTTTCAATAAACTTTCCCACTCCCTTTAAATTCATTTTTTCTTAGTCAACTGCCTTTTTTTTTCCCGTACATTTGCATGCCTTGATACCCAGTCCCACAAAATCCCACCAAAGCGGCAACTTTTCGTTTGGGCTTTCTTGGTTCTTTTGCGTTTCCTTTTTCGACCTGTTCAGTATCTTTTTCATCACACGCGGATTCGTTATCTTTATCAACTGATTCTTCCGACTCGTTGCGGCCTTTCCATTCCTCAGCGACTTTTGCATGGCGTCGATTAGCATGTTGCCGTCTGTCCCTGGCAGTAGGAAATCGTTTTTTTGCTGGTCGCGCGATTGTTTTGGAATCCAAAGTTGATTCAGAGTTTGAGGAGTGTGGGCCATTATTTCCATCATTGGTTCGCTTATGGCCGTGTGGAGTGGAATTTTGCATTTGATTTGATATTGTGTCGGCCGGTGAAAGATACGGACGTGATGCTAAACTTTTGATTAGAGCACTGTAAGAATTAACATTAAGGATTTGTATGTTGATATGTTTTCGAAAGATGGATGATCGTTGAAAGCTTTTTCGGATTGACATTAGCGTTTAGTCACATGATGTTGGTATTTTTTCTCTATTACTATCCCAACAAGTCGGTAAACGCGGTCTAGTTTAAATTCTCTTTGCAAATCATGGTAAACGGAACGGTTTTTCATGGACATGACATCGAACGCGGGTCGTCTGCCATTCAGTTATTGTTTTTTATTATTAACATAAGATGCATTCTCAGAATTCATATTGAAGCCATTATCAGTTAATGCAGAATGGTCATGCATAAGCGTGACGTCAGTAATTAGTCGTAACATTCACCGTATTTACATTTCAAATTCCCATCGTCTTATGAATTTTTGCTTAGTAAAAGATGAAAAATGATTATTATGTTGATTAAACGTTTGGTTAACAACGTTAGAAAAAACAACCTTGGTAGATGAGCATAGTTCAAGATATTTCTTTTCCTTCTATTTCTTTCTTTATTATATCTTTGATAAACACACGGATCCTAATTTGACCGTCTTCGCCCCCTTCAGCATTACAAATAGCTTTATTCTCACTAGGAGCCGATACAATAATAGCTATTTGAATTGTTATTTTATCGCTATAGTGGCAGTCTCTTCAGCAGAATAATCTGTTCTCCGTGGCCTATTACTATTTACATATGCCCCAAAAAAATCTGTTGGAGTATCAGCTCTTATTCGCTCTTCTGTCCGGATGTTTGTTACCACTTTATAAACCTCTCTAATAAAGTGGATCAATAATAAACGATATTGTCCAACGTTCATAGAATTCTCCTCGAGTAAGACTGTGAAACTTCTTTATTACTGGTCAGCACAATATAAGAAAACCGGTATATAGAAGAATGCCTCTCCCTATAGTCATAGCTATTGAACATTTGGTATACGTTAATGTGGGGCAGACGGTGTAAACAGATTTCACTGCATGTCTAATCCACAACAACGGTTATAGTTTCCGAGTTCGCCCTTTGTCCCTGAAACGCCAGATTATCTCCGTTTTTTCCCTTGCTGTTACAGAAGATGCAAAAAATTGTGCAACGATGAGGTACCGTAATTACGCACACCAAACCGATCAATATAAGACTAAATCCAGCGATGACCAGTATTATTCGAACAGATAAAGGTTCCGAGTGTACGGGTTGTGGTAAACTAAAAAGCAAGCGTCGGATCAGCAATGCTGTGTACAATTGATTTTGCTTGTCAGTGCAATGTGTACTCTATTATTGAATGTGTCACCTGGGAACATTCGCAGGACTTGAACTGACTGTTGGCGTCGACATGGTTGGAGAGGCGGTTTTTTGCGTTCTTGTCGACGGGGAATTAGTTTGTGTAAATGGCGGGGGTATCATTGGCTTATATGATGTACATTTACTACCATCACTAAACAATCATAAAATAAGATTATTAAACAGCCACTTAAAAATGTTTAATTTTGGAAAACTTTTTTACAACATTATTTAATAGCATACAAATTGGTAAACTAACTCACCAATACAGTATACAGCACGCCAAGAAAGCGATAGTAATAGCTAACATTGTCACGTGTCTGGTCATTTACTGTTGATTATTGTCTCGTTCTTGAAAGTATCGTCAGGACGGGATAAATGTGGTTTTACCATGTACAAGAATACGTGAATTATTTGTAGAAGAGTGGGAGTTGACTTGGTTATCAATCTCTCTCTTTGGGGATATGTTGATTTGCAAACGAATGACAAATTTTGGTTCTAGTACGTAATTCCCGGATGTGGAAAATTTGTTAAGTTTTCTGTTCGCGTAGGATGACTGTATATATATGTTCTGATCCAAGCATGATGCCTAATATTACACTAATAAATGACAACATTGTTTATTATTATGTGATGTTATCGAAATAAAATGTGCTTACTTCGAAATTGAGTCAGATTGCGACTTGCCAACTGTGTAACATTAACAGTGTGACCACAAGAACAGATACAGATAACGAAAGCGTTGTTTCCCTTCTTCGCGTTAGGTATTGGTTCATGTGTTACAACAGTTATTGCGCGACCATTCGATCAAACATAATACTGGTTATTTACACAAGCGGACATTAAGCGCAGTGTGTCTCAGTAATTGTGGTTTCGGGAAAAACTTCCTTTTTGTTTCACAACACAATAAACAATTAATTCTATGTTGACATTCACAAACCATGCTTTTACTTGCAATCTAAAATATAATCACAAGAATGGAAGCTGTAAACAAGACAGCAAATTAAGTGCACTTTTTGAATTACTATAAAAACTCTTGCAGAATAAATTTAATTAAACAGCGTGGTCAAAACTCCGTCAGAAACTCGTGGATAAATATAAAAATAAGGTTAATGGCTCAAATATTGAAGAGTTAAAGCAATAATAAAATAGAATGTGGTTACATTATCACCATGCAGTTGATATGATTTTGTCAATTAACGCTGTGAGCTTGTTTCGGTAACAATGGGAATAGAATTTATACTAAAAAGAATAACACGTCTGTAATAGTTTAGATATCTCAAGTTTTATGATATATCCTTTTTCGGTTCAGTACATACAATATACGTTGTGTTGGTTCAATTTTTGTGACCACGATTATTTTGAGACATAGCATATGTAGATATTATTAATAGTAATTGTACATGCATTGTACGTTATTGCTATTACTATTATTAGGCCTCCAAATTAGTCTCACCGGGGAGATAGAAAATTAACTACGAATAACCGTTCCAGTATTAGTGCCTACCAATCCAATCGATACAGGGCGCGAGTACTAAATCCTACTTAATAGTTATTAACAGTTTATTTAATAAAGTAGATGCCACAGCTCTTAGAATATTGCTCTTCCGCAATTGTTGACTTGCGCGAAATGGGAATTAAAAAATTGCGCTCATTATTGCTTAACAACAATGCTTCCTGCAATCAATGAGTCAAACACTGTAAAAATAATTCAAATTTTTCGTAAGCGCCATAATTCCGAACTAAATAAAACACATCAGAAACAAAATACCCTGTAACTTCCCCTACCGCATTTCCATATGGCTCAGCGGCTGCCAAGATAAAGTATCCATTGATGCATTCATTATCTGTCGTACATTATTATACCAATATTACATAGAGGACGGGACGCTTTCTGAATAGGGTTTAGAATAATAACGTAAACGAGCTACACAGAGTCAAAACAATCATATCAGCGAGAGTCTTTTATGACGATTATAACAAGTTTATATCTGGGTCACATGAAACGTCAATCAATCAAATTATTTAGACTATACTAATCCGATTGTTTCCTTTTAGCTAAAGTGTCTTGCTTCGTCGTGTAAATAAATTACTCAACAGCGTCTTTTATCAATCGCACTTTTTCTACCATTCATCCATTTCTTAATTGTCGTGTCAAAAAATTGGTTTGATGTGGAGAAGACTGCAGACGAGTGAAATCATTTGACATGTGAATCAAAGATGGTTGGTGTGGCTGATACGCAGAAAGATATATTAGCATACACTGGTAACCTATGCAGAATAACTTGGTTCTGTCGGGGCACATTATTTAACGGATGCATTATCGAGTGGAGAAATTACGCTCGATGATACTTAACCTCGATAGTGTCAGTGCAGTAATGATACATAAAGTTGAAGCATTCTAGTCTGAATTAGTCACGCTCGTCTCGAATTACACGATTTAACAGCAATATCATTTGCTATGTATGTTAGATTTACACAAATTATCGTACACTTTTGTTATAGTCAACACAGTGCTGAGAAGATGAATATCGTTAATCCTTCTCGTTGATTTAAGCAAGGCATTACTCTAGTATCCCGTAAGCAATAAACACTTACAAGCATAGAACGTTATTAAACAATATGTAACAGTCAACGAGTTCTGTATTCCTACTCTGTAATAGATAAACATAATAAATCTTGCATGCCAATTTCGTCAAGTTAATAAGAAAGCCTGCTAAATTTAAGTGCAGAGTTAAATAATTTAATTTATTTAATTTTTTACTATAATAAATGCATGATTCATCTGTCACATTAATAATTTTGATAAAATTTTTCTTCTTTTTCTGTTCTTTTTCGTTGTTATTAAGACTTATATTAATAACTATAATAATAATAATAATAATAATAATAATAATAATAATAATAATAATAATAATAATAATAATAATAATAATAATA